GCGTGCCTGTAATCCCAGCTACTAAAGAGGCTGAGGCAGGAGAATTGCCTGAACCCAGGAGGCGGAGGTTGCGGTGAGCCGAGATCGCGCCATTGCACTCCAGCCTAGGTAACAAGAGCGAAACTCTGTCTCAAAAAAAAAAAAAGAGAAGAGACGGCATTCTCGCTGATTACCTCCCAGTGTCACCTCATTGCTTAAGGCTGTAAATATAAATTGTGCCTAAAGCAGGGCTTTGCAAAAGTTCATCTTTAGGTCACCTGCATCAGGATCATCCGGGTGGATTTTTATTTAAAGCATAGATGTCAGGACTTTGCCTTCAGATCTATTAATCCAGGGACTCTAGCACAAGGCCTAGGCGCCCACAGGTGATTCTATTAGGCTAGTCAAGTTTGACAACCACTCAACAGAGCAAAATCAGCATCACCTGGGGGCCCAGCTTGGAAGAGATGCAAATTCTTGGGTTCCAACTCCAGACCTACTGAGTCAGACCAGACATACTGAATCAGAAGCTCTGAAGTGGGCCCGAGCAATCTGTTTTAACAAGCCCCTCAGGTGATTTTGATACCTGCTAACGCTTGAGAATCCGTTGGAATCTGGCAATGATTCTGAAGCAGTGGTTCTCAAATTTGCCTACATGTTGGAATCGCTCTCCAGCTTTAAAATCCAAAAGCTCAGGCTGTAGCCCAAACCAATTAAATCACAGTCTTTATGGTAGGACTCAGACATAGTCTCTTTTTAAACTGCCCAGCTAATTGCAAGGTGCAGGCAAAGTTAAGAACCACTGTAGCAGGTGGGGGAGTTGATACCTAATTCACTAGGACTGGCCAGGTGAAGTGGCTCATACCTGTAATCCTGGCACTCTGGGAAGCCGAGGCGACAGGATTGCTTGAGCCCAGGAGTTTGAGACAAGCCTGGGCAATATAGTGAGACCCCATCTCTACAAAACACTAAGAAAACTAGCCAAGTGTGGTGCTGCACGCCTGTAGTCCCAGCTACTCGGGAGGCTGAAGAGGAGGATTGCTTGTGCTCAGGAGGCAAAGGCTGCAGTGAGCCGAGACCTGAGCACTGCAGTCCATCCTAGGTGAAAGATTGAAACCCTGTCTTGAAAACAAACCAAACAAATCACTGGGATTTTCTCACAGTAAATATACACTCGCTGCCAGGATATCCTGGTATTATCCTCACCCTGAAAATCTCTGCGGTTGTAAACCTCATTATCGATGGGACAGGGTCATCTTCTGCCTGTGTGTCTGATTTAGGGGGTCTGATGTGGAGCCTGAGAGTCGGCATGTCTGATGAACTTCCAGGGGACGCACATGTTGCCGGTCCAGGGACCATGGTTTGAGTAGCAAGGCCCTGCCCAAGGTGTCCATTACTCCCATTGCCACAGGAGCCTTCAATTGCGTCTCTCCAGCTCAGCTCTCTTTCCATCCACTTGGTGATTCGAAGGCTCCTAAATGCCGTATGACTAAGACACACTCTTTGTCTCCTGCCCCTAAATACAGTCATCTCTCAGTGTTGCCTGGTTCAATTAACTCATTTGTCACTTCTCAACTTGGGTGGCCTTCCTCAGGGCAGCCTGCCCCTCCTGCTCCCTGGTTTCGCTCACTTTTCCAAGTCATCACGTGAGAATTACATACAGAAACCTCTTCCTTTCCTTCATCGCACTGGATCTGCCTCAGTGCAGTAATCTGATTAATGGATTTCTGAATAAGCTCCAGGAGAACAGGGACTACTTCTATTTTGGTTCACCAGTGTCTCCTCACCCTGAACACCATGCCAGGCCCATAGTGGGCACACCATAAATATTTATTGACTGACTGAATGAACAAATGAATGGATGAATACAATCGACAATTTCTGAATATTACATC